GAGGATCCCCTTCGTTTTATTTAACGGCATGTAACAAACCAGTTAGTCCTGTACAAAATTTCAAAGTTACTTTTTTAATTTTTTCTTTTGAAAACTTGATGCCTAAAAATCTAAAGTTTTCATTCTGAAATACTTTTTTTGCCAATCCGCATTTATGGATTGTTTGTTTCACTTAATTTCTATGGGTAAACTCATTCATTCTAAAAAAAAAATCCTCCATTTAATGAAGTTTAAACTTATGTGGTATTTGTCAAAAATAAATAATGTGTAAATGATGTTGTTAGATCTAACGTGGTTGAAGAAACCCACAGAAAATACAAGAGATTATAGAGTTTCATATGAAGTATAGCACTTGTGTACAGGACTAACAAATCTTATCACTGTTTTTTGAACTTGTTTTAACTAACCAATCATATTGTTGAATAATGTTGATCCAATGAAAATTTGTGAAAATTGATTGAGCTAGCTTGAAGATATATCATCTCTTAGGATGACAATAATAAAAATGATAATAATAATAAAATCTTTAATGACAAGGGTGAAAATTAGGTCAAAGGCCTCTTTACAATTTTGCCCGGTGAAATTATAACATGAAAATTATAAAAAATAATAAATTGAAATTTTTAAACTTGGATAAAATGAGTCTTTGTTTATCAGTGGACTTATCTGGTGTCATAACTATACAACAGAATCCCTCTATAATCTAATAAATCTATAAAACTAAGTAATAGTCCATTAAACGAAGAAATTTGAAACATGTTTAAAAGCTTGCTATAATAATTATTTAGTTTAATGGATATATCATCTTATATATAGATTCTATTCTTTAGTAATAGCACCTGGTAAGTCTAACTGATGAATATAAACTTTTATAGACCAAGTTGGAGAATGTCCATTCTAAGAGGTAGTATCCTTTTAAAACAAAATACTAGATTTTCAGTGGATCAATTTGTATTTTACCTTCTTAACACTGGTGATGGTTTAAGATAGATTAAAGATACCTGTAGGAAGAATAATTACTGCACAATATGAACACAAGTCACAGACAAAATGCGCTAGAATTGCTTATTAAGGTATCTGTGTTATGTCAACTTGTTAGTTTTTTCAGTTAGAATGGCTGCGCATTGTATTCACAATTATATGGTATAGCCCTAATTTCAGGCATTTAGAATCCTGTCCAGCTAGCTTGTTAAAGAAGTCCACATTTTGAAAAGTTTGAATTAGTCATGTCACTTAAAGTGATACTACATCTTAGAATTAACATAAAATTTAAGAATTTTAAACTTGACGAATAAGAGCTAGTAGATATACCGGGTGTCATAAATAACATAACAGGATCCTTATATAATCTGATAAATCCAAAAAACTTAGTAATTATCCAAAAAATAAGCAATTAACTATTATTGAAAAACGCTTAATATCAAGATTAAGCGTTTTTCCATAATTACTTATTTTTATGAATTTTCCAAGTTTCCTGATTTTACAGGGATTCTGTTG